CTTGCTGCCATGCTCCCCTCCTCACGTCCACAGCATCTGTTCATTGCCCTGGTTCCAAAAGTGTTGGTGAGTGGGGCCACCGTTTGCATTCCGGTTTGTGTGTTACTGATTTGATGGATGTGGTCTTTGTGTTTTTGGTTTGCCTTTTTGTTTTGAGATGGAGTCTTACTCTTTCGCCCAGCCTGGAATGTAGTGGTGCAATTACAGCTCACTGCAGCCTCCACCTCCCGAGTAGTTGGGACCACAGGCATGCGCCACCACACCCGGCCAAGATTTCTGATTTTTTGTGGAGACTGGGTGTCCCTCTGTGGCCCAGGCTGGCCTTGGTGTTTGACCTGCCAAAGCGTCCATGAAGCCAGTGTCTACACGGTAGCTAGAGCACGGACTGGCAGTGACCCGACAGTAACACTTCCCGTGATTCCACGGCAGGCAGCTTTGCGGCCCTTGGTCCTGGGTGCAGGGTCCGAGGCGTGGGCATCTGTGACCACAGGTCACATGAGGCCACTGGTCCACTCCTCATTTGGACTTCCTTTGTGCAGGATGGGCAGCACTGGCTCTGTCGGAGGTTTGAGGAGCTGACGCACCCGCGTGCCCCTCTGTCCCTGTCACTGGCAGGGGAAGGAGTTGGGATTCGAGGGTGGTGGGGAGCCCGGGCCCCGCCTGCTGATCTTGTTCACTTTGTGTTCCCTTTCAGATGAGCAAGGTGTGGAACGACCTGAGACCCAAGCTCAGCTGCCTCTTTGTGGGACCACACAGTGTCCTGACCCCACCGCGGTCCCCGCCGCAGTCCCCGCCGGAGGATGGCCTGTGTCCTCACTAGCATGAGGCTAAGGCGGTGCTCCCTGCGGCCACACTAAAACCTCTTTCCAAACGGTGTGTCCCGTGTAATTCCCTTTGGACGGCAGCTCTCCTTCCCACCAGTGCTGCAGCTGGAGCAGGTGCACTCAGCCCGCAGGCCGGGAGGGCACCCATGGACCACAGGGCAGCTGTGCCATGCTGTCCTCCACTCCGTGGCCTGCTAGCCTGGTGGAGAGGGGTGGTGGGATTCCTCCAGACACCCAGAGCCATGGGGGAAGGCAGGGATCTCTCATCTCACAGAGATTGTGCCTGGGGGAGCATGGGGTGGGGCCTCCAGATGCTGGAATAGTCAGGCGGGGCGTCCTCATGGTGCTGGTCAGCGGAGGAGAGAGGGAGGGCAGGGCCGCCCTGCAGCCAGGCATGGGACTGGCCATGGACAGCAAGGGGACAGCCAGTGAGCCGATGGTGTGGACGCTGTCATGGCTTTTTGTGGTGGCAAGGCCGGGAGGGCTGGCCATTGGGCATGGGGCGTGCACTGTGAATTTTCTAGGGGACTCGCTGCAGTGAACACCAGGAGCCCTGGTCTGGGAGTGGCCTCCAGGATCCAGTGTTCCCATGTCCCCCTGCTCACACCATGACCCCATGTGTGCCCTCTGCCCACACCATGACCCTGTGTGTGCCTGTGGTCGCAGGCCTGGAAGACAAAGGCATGACGGAGAGCTGGGGCTCTGAGAGTGGGCGCTACAGTGGCTCTGTTCCTGTCCCCTGGACTCCCTTCATTTCTGGTGGCCAGTGTTGGGGTCTTCACCATGTGGCACTGAGGCTGGATGGGCCGGCAGAGGACAGGTGGGGGCATGGGGGATGTGTTCCATTCCAGCCGGGGCATTAGAGGAGGGATAGCCCCCTTTTAGATGGATTTCCTTCTCTGAGGCAGCTAGAGTCCCGCCTCAGCCTCCCGCCATGCACTTGCCGGCCCAGCCACCCATACAGAGGGGACCGTTCCCTTCTCTGGATTAAGAAGCCATTCTCCTGAGCTCTGTGGGGCTGGAATGTCTGTCTCAGGCCTGGGTCTGCTCCTGCCCCAAACCCCTTTTGCAGAAGGCACATGGAGCTTGGGGGTCTCCTGGACCCCTGTGCTTCTCCAGAGGCTGAGGCCCTCCCTGCGGGGAGAGGTGCTGGAAGAGGATCCTGGGTCCCAGGGTTTCCGAGGTCCCTCTGTTCTCCAGATGCTCTTTGGCCTCCAGGTGTTCCCTCCACTCACCGAGTTTGCTTCCCTTCTGCCTGCACCCACGGGGATCTCATGGCCCTAGGGTGGAGGAGACTCCGGTTCGTGTCCCACAAGCAGGTGATCCATCATTCACTGTGAGCCGGCCAGAGGGAATGGCTGCGCCTTCTGGCCCTGTGGGCTGTGCCGACTTGGTGCCTGTAGCGCTCAGACCCTGCCCTGCCCTCTGGGTTCTGTCGGTGCCTTCCTGCTGTGGGGCGGGCTGCTCCCTTCTGGCCAGAGGAGCAGAGGGCAGCGTTCCCTTTGGAGCCCGATGGGTGGGCTATCCTGTGAGTCCCTAGCCCACCCAAGTCTTGGGTTGTGCTGCGAATCTGACCCCCTCTGCAGAGACAAGATTCACAGTTTCCGTGAGTGGTGCTGTGACAGCTAAGCCATGGAGCGTGACCCTGTGTGGGCAGAAGGCTGCAAGGCCTCGCCATCTGCTTGCACCTGCCTGGGGCCTGTCCAGCTGCAGGATCATAGAGGCTGTGGGCAGAGTTGTGGTGGGCATCAGGCATGGGGGCCTCGTGTCTCCAGGGTAGGCAAGGCATGCGCTCCCAATACAGCCCTCCAAGGAGAGAGCAAGACTCAAAATGAGCATTTCTGAAGGAGCGTTCCTGGCAGGGACTCTGGGGTCCGTGAGTATGATAGGAGGCCACATGCCTGGCAGTATCTCCCTGTGGTGGAAATTTCAGGACCAGGGTCTTGGGGTCCTTGTGTCCAGAGGCTGAGGATGAAGAAAGGAGGAGGGCAGGGGCAAGGAGTGAGGGTGAGAGAAACAGGAGAGCAGGGGTGAGGATGAAGCAGAAAGGCAGGGGTGAGGGGGGAACAGGAGGGCAGGGGGAGGGGAGAGCAGGAGGGCAGGGGTGAGGAGGGAAGAGGAGGGCAGGGGTGAGGAGGGAAGAGGAGGGCAGGGGTGAGGGGGGGAACAGGAGGGCAGGGGTGAGGGGGGAACAGGAGGGCAGGGGGAGGGGAGAGCAGGAGGGCAGGGGTGAGGGGGGAACAGGAGGGCAGGGGTGAGGGGGGAACAGGAGGGCAGCGGTGAGGGGGGAGCAGGAGGGCAGCGGTGAGGGGGGAGCAGGAGGGCAGGGGTGAGGGGGGAACAGGAGGGCAGCGGTGAGGGGGGAACAGGAGGGCAGGGGTGAGGGGGGAACAGGAGGGCAGCGGTGAGGGGGGAACAGGAGGGCAGGGGTGAGGGGGGAGCAGGAGGGCAGGGGGGAGGGGGGAGCAGGAGGGCAGGGGTGAGGGGGGAGCAGGAGGGCAGGGGGAGGGGGGAGCAGGAGGGCAGGGGGAGGGGGGAGCAGGAGGGCGGGGGTGAGTGGGAGACAGGAGGGGAGGCATGGGGGGAGCAGGAGGACAGGGTGAGGGGACAGGGCAGGGGTGAGGGAGCAGGAGGGCAAGGGTGAGGGAGCAGAAGGGCAGGGGTGAGGAGGGATCAGGAGGGCAAGGGGAGGGGGAGCAGGAGGGTAGGAGTAAGGAGGGAGGAGAAGAGGGCAGGGGTGAGGACGGAGAAGGGGAATGGGTGAGGGGTGAGGGGAGGTAGGTGTGAGGAGGGCAGCCTGTCTCCTTCGTGTGACTGGCCGCTTCCTGCATGCCCTGGTGTTGGCTCTGTGGAGGGGTGGACACTGGCTTTGAACACTTCCCTTCCTCCCTCCTTCTGCCACCCTGTGCCTTCTCAAGGGCAGTAGAGGCCTGCAAGGCAGGGGATGGCAGAGGCCACTTTCCTTCTTACAATTACTTCTTGGCCCCGGCCCTGGCCCTGTGCTGCCTTGGCAGGTACCCAGGCCCAGGGGCTGACCTGGGGGATGAGAGGCTGCTTCCTGCAAGTGGAGGCCCCGTGCTGGGAGAGTGGGGTTCCCCACATCTCTGCAGCCCTCCTGCTGCCCATGGCCCAAGCCCAAGACTGTGCTGGGCATTGCAGCCTTGCCCAGCTGGCAGGGACAGCTGCGCATGATGCAGGTGGAGATGCCAGATGCCATCTGCCCTTGGAGGACAGGTGGCTGGCGGGGCCACGGGAGGGGGGCTGCAGATCGCAGTGAAAGGGAACATTCTCACTGGATCCTCCTGTCCTGTGGACTCGGGGTCACCATGTAGAGAGCTGCCCTCTGCCATAGAGGCAGCGCAGACAGGGGAGACAGGTATAGGGCTCTGACGGGCACGGGGACTCCGAGCTGAGGGATGTCAGGGTGGCTCTGTGCACCTGAGGCCTTTGCTCTTGCTTTGGGGGTCAGTTCATGTCCAGAGCACTTTAGGAAGCTGCCGGGATCAATACCGAATACACCCAATAAACTGGAATTGTTTATACACAACCTACATTTTGGATGGTTTATGGATAACTGTGTGCAAACAACTTTTATTAAACGTGTATGAAAGTTGGGCAGGGGAGGGGAATGAACCTATGAGGCATTCAGCCTGGGCTTTAGCCTCAGTTTCCCACACTGTGCAGGGGAGTTTTGAGAGGACACACCTCCAGCTAGTGGCACTTAGCATGTGTGTCCTGCCCTCTGCCAGCTGCCCACCTCCGGGACAGTCTCTGACCTCTACCACCTCTGTGCAGCAGTGCGGGTCACAGCCCAGCACATCTGGCAGCTTCCTGTGGACAGGACCCGGCAGGCTGTGCTGGTGTCTGGGGAAGGAAGTTTAAAAAGAGACCGGCTGGGCGTGGTGGCTCATGCTTGTAATCCCAGCCCTTTGGGAGCCTCAGGCGGGCGGATCACATGACGTCAGGAGTTCAAGACCAGCCAGGTCAACATGGTGAAACCCTGTATCTACTAAAAATACAAGTACTAGTCGGGCATGGCAGTGTGCGCCTGTAATCCCACCTACTTGAGAGGCCGAGATGGATGGGAGGATCGCTTGAACCTGGAAGGCGGAGGTTGAAGTGAGCCGAGATCGCATCACTGCACTCCAGCCTGAGCAACAGAACAAGACTCCCATCTCCAAAAAAAAAAAAAAAAAAAAAAAGGTTGAAGACCTTTATTTTCCTTTCCGTCCAATCACACTACAGACAAAATCCAGCTCTGATCCACTTGCTGCGCCCAGGTGAACAGCCGATTTGCAGCTGTTCAGCAGCCAAGTCTCCTGCCCAGGGGCTCCCCGTGCTCCCGCTAGACCGCGTCCACCTCTCGGAGCGTGTAGTCCAGGATGGTGTCTTGATCCTGGAACTTGAAGTACCCGTGGAATTTCTTCTTCTGAAGCAGGAGTGGAAACCAGTAGCTGTCGTCTGGCCACATGTCTTTGAAGGGGATCTGGTCCAGCTGGAACCAGTGTGGGCGCATTTCTGTACCGAGGGGAGAAGAGGAGGCACTGACATGCAACCCAAATTTAATGCTTACTATTATTATTTTTGTAGAGACGGGGTCTCGCTCTGCTGCCCAGTCTTGTCTTGAACTCCTGGGTCAGGTGGATCCTCCTGCCTCAGCCTCCCACAGTGCTGGGATTACAGCTGTGAGCCACCTGCATCTGGCCAGCCCAAACAAACTGGCTCTCTGAGTAGTACCCTGAGTGATCGTGAGGAACCTAACGATCGTTTGTATTTAATCCTCTGACCATGTTTCTCATTTTGGGGTAGGAAATGGGTGCAGTGACCATGGCTCAGGGCCCTATGCTGGCATTGTGAGGTGGAGGGGATGCAGGCTGCCTGGCACTCAGAGCTGGTTTGAGCTGATGACCTTTCTCCCAGTCAGGAGATGGAACATGCATGGTGGGGAGTGGGGAGCAGGCCCCATGAGGCTCACCGTCGCTCTCCACGGGGGTCCCCTGGACGCTGTCTGTGCAAAAGACATGCACATCCATAAGCTCAGGCTCGCCCACGAACTCAAACACGATCTGGCCCACCTTGTGCAGCGCATCCACTGTCAGACCGCTCTCCTCCTGCAGCTCCCTGTGGGCAAAGGTGGATGGGGGAGGGAGGAGAGAGGGCGTCAGGCAGGCCACCATGCCCACATGATGGCAGGGGAGGAGGAGCTGGGCATCTGCAGAGCTCAGGGAGCCAATGGAGCGGATGGGAAACCCAAGATGATGTCACCCAGAATGCATTAGCTTGTCCTGACCTGCCTGAGCTTCACAATCAATTTGAACTTTGAAGACACTGAGTTTGGTGGAGAGGGGCCCGAAGATGGTGTGGAGCCACTGGTGGGAGGATCGCAGTTCTAGTCCAGTGTCCTCTGTGTACCAGTGACAGCCCAGTGGAGTCCAGCCACTTTTCCACAGTCCTGAGACCCGAGGGGCAGCAGGGTTGGGACCGATACCACTTCCTTCATTCCTGGTTGCTCACTTTTCCATGGCTGAGCATCAGAGCCTAGGCAGCTGTAGTTATGGCTGCCAGAGCCCTGCGACGTTTGCTCCGGGAACCTGGGTCCTGTACGCTGGGCCTGCCTGCTGAAAGAAATGTCTTTCTAGCCTGGCGCCACTTCTCTGAGAACACAGGATGAAACCACAGCCTTCTATGACCTCTTTCTTGAAGGAGGAGCTCTGGTTTTAACTCCGGCCCCCAGGCTGACCACGCAGGACATGTGCCCTGGGCCTCTTGCTGCACATTCTCCGGACCCACTATCCACAGCTGTTCCTGAAGGAGTAAAGGGGCTGACCTTACCACGGAGTGCCCAAGTGCTGCTGTGGCTGAGAACAAGCCATTCTCTCTGCTTCACCACACACAGAGCCAGAGGCTTCTCTGAAGTAATCTAACGCTATTGCTAACTCAAAAATACTTTAAAAATTACATATATGTTGTAGACTACCAGGAAACAAAACACCATAAACTCATCACCCAGGAATGCCACCATATCAGTGTTTTTCCTTTGGCTCTTTCTCCTCTGTACATCCCTTAAAAAATGCAAACATTCACCCTTAATCGCTTAAGGTTAAAAAATAAAAATGCAGCCAGGTGCAGTGGCTCATGCCTGTAATCCTAGCACTTTGGGAGGCCGAGGTGGGTGGATCACCTGAGGTCAGGAGTTCAAGACCAGCCTGGCCATCACAGTGAAACCCCATATTTAAAATAAATAAATAAATAAAAATAAATAAAATAAATGCAAACAGGTTGGGTGCATGGTGGCTCATGCCTGTAATCTCAGCACCTTGGGACACCAAGGTGGGAGGATTGCTTGAGCCCAGGAGTTTGAGACCAGCCTGGGCAACATGGCAAAACCCTGTTTGTACACTAGCTGGGCGTGGTGGCACTTGCCTGTAGTTTCAGCTACTCAGGAGGCTGAGATGGGAGGAACGCTTGAGCCCTCGAGTTAGAGGCTGTAGTGAGCTATGATCATGCCACTGCACTCCAGCCTGGCAACCGAGCTAGACCCTGTCAAAAAAAAAAAAAAAAAAAAAAATTATACACGTTTTATACCTTGTGCTTTCTACTCAAGAAAGGAGGAGTGTGTGACGTTCCACACTTCAAGGAATCCAGCCGGCTTCTCAACTCCTGTTTGCTATGAAAGAATAAAATGTTCCAATGTTGGGTTATCGTGGAAACCCATGCTGGATACAGTGGTGCTGCTGACATTCCGTTCTGAGCATTTGCTGGGTGTGCTCAGTTGGGTTCTTGCTTAGTCCTTCAGCAGACACTTCTCGAAGACCTACTCTGTGCTGGGACCCTGGGGATGCACGGGCGGTGGCCCCCAGGCATTGCAGTCTGCTCCTCCTACCATGCCTGGCTAATTTTTCTGTGGGTGTGTCTGTGTTATTTTTTTTTGTAGAGACAAGGTCTTGCTATGTTGCCCAGGCTGGTCCCGAACTGCTGGGCTCAAGCGATCCTTCTGCTTTGGCCTCCCCAAGTGCTGGGACTTCAGGTGTGAGCCACCATGCCTGGCCTACATGGTCTGATTTAAGTGATGCCTCCTCAGCGTAAGCTGCAGGGACTGGAGAGGAAACAGACCTGGAATCAACATTTATTCAGGGAGATGGCTAATTAAAGCCGGACTTGAGCTAAACGATTAACATGTGTGTTTGTCCTTGCAGGGTGCAAATGGCTCCCCAGCTAGATGCAACAGACATGCTCAGTGGGGCCTCACCAGCCTCTTGGTGGCCAGCTGTTACTTGTCTCAAAAAGCAGCCAAGGTGGGCGGATCACCTTGAGGTTGGGAATTCCAGACCAGCCTGACCAACATGGTGAAACCCCGTCTATATAATTAAAAAAATAAAAATAAAAATAAATTTTAAAAAAGCGTCACCTCCCGATGCAATGTTGTGACTGATTTCAGTTACTCTTCCCCAGCACACGGCAGCGTAGGAAGCATCAAGAATCTTCTGGGAGACAGCGCGGAAGCTTCATTTTACAGGCGGGGAGCCCCACGCAGGCAAAGATGATGATGTTTCAGTTCTGCTCAAGTGTCTGTTCTATCCGTGCTACTCAGTTCCCCAGACAGCAGACGGGGAACAGGATGAGAAATACATTAAACAAAAATACAGGTGGCAAGGCCTTGGTGGTATGGGGAGGCAGGAGTTGGAGGTCTCCACAGGCCTGCTTCTCATTGGTCCTGCTCCCGTGTCCTGGGTCTCACTGGTCTTTGGGGTTAGGGATGCTGCCTAGAAAGATCGTCTCACACTGTGCACCTAAAGCCCAAACCTGCACACCCCCCCCATAACCCAGTACTCCCCACGTACATGTCCCCTGCCCCACAGACGGTCTAAGTCCAGCCCTCTGGACTGGGGATGAGTGCTCAGGCCTACCCGCTGCCGGTGAGTGAGGATAAAGCAGGAACCAGCCTCCCTGGAGAGTGGGCTGCCAAGGCTCCTCCCTACCTCCCCCTACTGAGCAGCAAGAGCCTGGTGGCCCCAGGGCCAAATCCATTCAGACTCGCAGGTACTGAGGCCCAGGGCCATGCTGGTGGCCTGGGGCTGCCAGTGTGTCATCCCCTGGGGGGGCGAGGCCGTTTACTGCTGGGTTCCCAGGGCCCTGGGACCCCTAAGCACCAGCCTGTCTGGCTCCAGTGTCTCCCATTCCTCACGTCTGCAGATGCTCCCCAATGAGGGATTTTTTTCCCCCTTTAAGACAGGGTCATGGCAGGGCACGGTGGCTCACGCCTGTAATCTCAGCACTTTGGGAAGCCAAGGTGAGTAGATCACCTGAGGTCAGGAGTTCAACACCAGTCTGGCCAACATGGTGAAATGCTGTCTCTACTAAAAATATACAAAAAAATTAGCCGGGTGTGGTGGTGAGCACCTGTAATCCCAGCTACATGGGAGGCTGAGGCAAGAGAATTGCTTGAACCTGGGAGGCGGAGGTTGCAGTGAGCTGAGATCACGCCACTGTACTCCAGTTTCAGCAACAAGAGCGAGACTCCATTAAAAAAAAAAAAAAAAAAAAAAAAAAAGACAGGGTCTCACTCTGTTGCCCAGGCTGGAGTGCAGTGGTGTAATCACAACTTACTATAGCCTCAACCTCTTGGGCTCAGACGATCCTCCCACCTCTGTCTCCTGAGTAGCTAGGACCACAGGTCTGCACCACCAGACTTGACTAAGTTTTAAAATTTTTAGCAGAGAAGGCTGTTCTTGAATTCCTGAGCTTAAGTGATTCTCCCACCTCAGCATCCCAAAGTGCTGGGATCACAGACGCGAGCCACTGTGCCTGGCCTGAGAACATCTTAAGCTTGGGATAGGAAGATTTCTTTAAAAGCATGTGAAAAATGCTAACCATAAAATAAAAATTACATTTTAGATTATATTAAAATAATAAACTTCTGTTTACCAAAATGTCACTAAGAGTAGAAGCCACTGAATAGAAAATATTTGCAATATATATATTGTATCTGATAACTCACATCCAAAATGTTTAAAGAACTACAAATAAATTAGAAATCATGACCAGCCTGGGTAACATAGTGAGACCCAGTCTCTTAAAAAAAAAAAAAAAAAAAAGGAAAAGGTAACTAAATTCAAACATGGGCAAAAGGCTTGAGCAGATACGTCACAAAGGAGATCCAAGCGGCCCACAGACACTGAGGAGGTGCTCCCGCTCCTCAGTCATCAGGGCACACGGAACCTCAGTGAGCTCACTGCCCCTACCAGAATGGAGAAAGTACCAAGTGCTGTTGAGCCTTTAGGGGAAGCCGAACTCACACACCCGTGGTGGGAGTTTGAATCAGTGAAACATCTGTGGAAAGTGGTTTGGCAATCTATGCTGAAGCTGAATATCTACAGGTTTCCTAAAAGGTAACTGTTCACCAGGAAGGGGTGCACACAGGCACCAAAAGACACGTTCAGGACCGTTCCTGGCAGTCGCCCGAAACAGCTCCCAAGGGGAAGGCCCATATGCACACCTGCAGCAGAGCGGGTGACCTGGAGCAGAGCGGGTGACCCGGAGCACAGCGGGTGACCTGGAGCAGAGCGGGTGACCCAGAGCACAGCGGGTGACCTGGAGCAGAGCGGGTGAGCCGGGGCAGAGCCAGTGAGCTGCGGCAGAGCGGGTGAGCCGGGGCAGAGTGAGTGAGCCAGGGCAGAGCGGGTGAGTCAGGGCAGAGCGGGTGAGTTGCAGCGCGTACCTCTGCAGGGCAATACCCAGCAGCTGGAGGAGGAGCCACTGCTGTGGCACATGTGACGCTGGAAAGAAGCTGGACGAGGGCACAGCCTCTGAGATCCTGCACTGGAAACAGGCCAAAGTCATCAACTGTGCTGGAAGTCAGGACGTAGGGCCAGGTCCACAGTCCACTTCTATTTCTTGATCTACAAGTTGGCTAAACAGGTGGACCCGCTGGATGCAGTGGCTCATGCCTGTAATCCCAGCACTTTGGGAGGCCGAGGCGGCCGGGTCACTTGAGGTCAGTTTGAGACCAGCCTGGCTAACATGGTGAAACGCTGTCTCTACCAAAAATACAAAAATTAGCCAGGCGTGGTGGTGCGCACCTATAGTCCCAGCTATTTGGGAGGCTGAGGCAGGAAAATCGCTGGGAGGTGAAGGTTGCTGTGAGCAGATATCATGCCACTGCACTCCAGCCTGGGCAACAGAGCAAGACTCCATCTCAAAAAAAGAAACAGGTGGCTGGGTGAGGTGGCTCACGCTTGTCATCCCAGCACTTTGAGAGGCTAAGGCATGTGGATCATGAGGTCAGAAGATCAAGACCATCCTGGCCAACATGGTGAAACTCCATCTCTAATGAAAACACAAAAATTAACTGGGCGTGGTGCGCTACTCAGGAGGATGAGGCAGAGTTGTTTGAACTCAGGAGGTGGTGGCTGCAGCGAGCTGAGATTGTGCCAATGCACTCCAGCCCAGGTGACAGAGCAAGACTCTATCTCAAAAAAAAAAAAAAGAAACAGGTGAACCCACTTCTTAAAAACTCACTGCTGATGGAGATTTGGGCAGTTTTCTATATATGCATGACACTTCAAAAAAAGCACAAGCTACACTGGGCGCAGTGACTCACGCCTGTAATTCTAGCACTTTGGGAAGCTGAGGCAGGATTATCGCTTGAGGCCAGGAGTTTGATACCAGCCCGGGCAACATGTCGAAACCCTGTCTCTAGTAAAAGTAAAAAAATTAGCCAGGTGTGGTGGCGTGCACTGGTAGTCCCACCGACTCGGGAGGATGGCTTGAGCCCAGGTCGAGGCAGCAGTGAGCTATGATCGTGTCACCACACTCTTGCCTGGGCAGTCTTGACCTTATAGAATGATTATGGGAAAAGACAGATAGGAAATCATTAAATATAATCAGAAAGGGTGAGAGTGCCGTGAAAGACAGAGGATGAGACTTGTTGAGAACAATGGGGTTGGGGAAGGCACCTTCTTGGCTGTGAAAGCTGCTGGAGGGTGGGATGGGGGCTCAGCCGGATGAAGAGCAAGGTGGGCAACAGTTTGGGGTGCTGGGGGGCAGAGTGTCAGGAGGGAAGGGCAGGGCAAGCCTGTGGGGAACTCAGTGGCTGACACAGGAGGGCGGCTTTCAGTGCATCGGGAGGTGTTAAGGGTTTAATGTGGGAGTGTGTGTCTGTGTGGGGGGGGTTGGGGGAGACCCAGATGCAGTCTGGGAAGGGTCACCTGGTAGCTGTGTGGAGTGGGAACTGCAGAGGGGAGGGTGGAGGTGGCCAGGCCAGCTACAGGGCTGCTGCATCTGTCCAGGTGGGGGGATATCCATGGATCCAGGTTACACCTAAGGATGAAGTCACAGGCTGCCTGCTCTGTGCCTTAGTTCTCCCCTCAAACCCTGAGAGCAAGCCACCGCTATACTCAGCACTGAGGGTCTGTAGTGATGGTCCCTCTACATAATATTTACAGAGGGCAGGAGGGAAGTTCCTTGGACCGTGAGAAAGTTCAGAAGAAAATACATCAGGGCTGATGAGGCGGCCTGTGCTTTGCTTGTCACCGGCAGGACAAGGAGCAGAAACCAAGTCACCTGGAGCTCCTCCGTCCAGCCTCCTCAGCCCTGCTGCCTGCTCCCCTCACACTCCCACTTCCCTGCACAGCTGGTGTTCCTCCAGCCCTCTGTGCTTCTGCAAATGTCTCCTTCCTCCCTCCCTCCACGTCCTCCCAGTGAATGTCAGATCCTCAGGGTGTTTTCCTGGTGCCGTTATTCACCCTTCCTTTGTCCTGGACACCCCTGGCCGCCAGCTGTGGACCAGACCTCTTTCTGCATGTCTTCTGAACCTGGCAGCCGTATGACATGAGAGGCCCACAGAGGCAGGGACTGACCTGTTCCTCTCATGTCCCCAGTCCCCACACAGAGCAGTGCTACTGATGGGCGGTCTTACCAGATCTAAGACAAAGGGCTGGGCAGGAGGACCCCTGGGGCACATTTCCTGCCTGTTTCCTGTGCTGCTGTTGCTCTGCACACACTATAGGCATGGGTACACTGGATGCCCAACTCACTCACTGGGCCTCCTCCCCAGCTGCAGCCCCCAGCACAGAGCCCGTTGCACTGGCACCTGCCACAGATCAAATGTGTCTTTGTGACGGCAGCCCAGGGTCCCGGGCCTTGGAGGGGATGCACATGCTCAGTGTGTCACACATAGGGCTCTCCAAACTGAGGGTTGGGACCCATGTGCCCTATGAAATCAGGATTGCAACTGAAAAAAAAAGGGTCCAGCACAGTAGCTCATGTCTGCAATCTTAGCACTCAGGGAGGCCCAGGTGGGAGTATCGTTTGAGCCCAGGAGTTTGAGACCGGTCTGAGCAACAGAATGAGACCCGATCTTTACAAAGAATTAAAAACCTAGCTGAGCATGGTGGCATGAGCCTGTGGTCCCAGCTACTCGCGAGGCTGAGGCAGGAGGATCATTTGAGCCCAGGAGTTTGAGGCTATAGTAAGCCATGAGTGTGCCACTGCACGCCAGCCTGGGTGAGATCCTGTCTCTGGAGGGAAAAAAAAAAAAAAAGAAATGAATCGGAAATAGTAGGATGCCCTTTAATGTAATAAGGGTGGCTTCTGCAGTTTATTTTAGCTGTACCTGTAAACCTGAGCGTGTATATCAGAGTATAAAATGTATTTCTCACTGCAGGTTGTGACAAAAAATTTGGAAAGCCCCTGGGCTGCAGTGTCCTGGCTTTCCCCCGTGCTAGGACCCTCTTTATTTATTTATTTATTTTTTTTTTTTTTGTGATGGAGACTTGCTGTATCGCCAGGCTGGAGTGCAGTGGCGCAATCTTGGCTCACTGCAACCTCTGCCTCCTGGGTTCAAGCAATGCTCCTGCCTCGGCCTCCCGAGTAGCTGGAACTACAAGTGTGTGCCACCACACCTGGCTAATTTTTGTATTTTGTTTTTTCTAGTAGAGATGGATTTCACCATGTTGGCCAGGATGGTCTCGATCTCCTAACCTCGCAATCCGCCTGCCTCAGTCTCCCAAAGTGCTGTGGCTACCGGCGTGAGCCACCGTACCCTGTTGCCAGGACCCTCTTTATATTTCTCCTCTCCAGGGAAGGTGACCTACCTTTCTCAGAACAGGAACGTGAACAGGGGCTACATATGGGCAGGACTATGTGATGTTTACACAGATGGTCTCATTTACGCTGTGATTGGTGAGGGGTGTCTGGAGGACTGTGTGATCTTGGGCAAGATGCTTAACCTCTCTGGGCTTCAGTTCCTATCTCAGTGAAGCTGAGGATGCAATGAGGTTTTGTGTGCAAAGGGTGTGAGATAAATGCGATCATCAACTCCTTTGCACAAAGTTACCAACTGACTGATGGGCCTCCAGTGACAGTGAGGATGCCAGGAGTGTTCAATTAAGCCAGAAGGTCCAGTAGCTCCCAGAATCACCCTGCACCCCCAGCACCACAGCAGCTGACACAGACTCAGCGCCCACTACACACCATGCACCACCGCACCACAGCAGCTGACACAGACTCGGTGCCCACTACACACCATGCACCACCACACCACAGCAGCTGACACACCCTCAGCGCCCACTACACACCACGCATCACTGCACCACAGCAGCTGACACACACTCAGCGCCTACTACACACCACACACAACCACACCACAGCAGCTGACACACACTCAGCGCCTACTACACACCACGCACCACCGCACCACAGCAGCAGACACACACTCAACACTCAGTACACACCACACACCACACCACAGTACCTAACACACACTCAACACTCAGTACACACCACACCACAGCACCTAAGACACACTCAACACTCAGTACACACCACACCACAGCACCTAACACACACTCAACACTCAGTACACACCACACACAGCACCTAACACACACTCAACACTCAGTCCACACCAGGCACTGCTCTAAGTCCTTTATGCTGCTCTCATTTAATCTTCAAGAGTTCTAAGGTCTGGATGCTCTTCTTACTCCCATTCTGAGGTGAAGATACTGAGGCTCACAGGTTAACCCGTGCTCCAGGTCACTTAGTTCTAAGTGGTGAAGCCAAGGCTTTGGCCCTGCAGCCCGAATCCCTGTGCCCTGGGAAAGCCGGTTCCACGGCCAGCCCCGCCCCATTCGTACCTCTTGGCTCCCTCCTCGATGGTCTCTCCTTCTTGCACTTTGCCCCCAAAGCCATTCCAGCGGCCGGCCCCAAAGCCTCGCTTTTTCATGCCCAGGAGAACTCGCTGAGGCTGCAGGACCAGCACCAGGGTATAGAGCCTGGAGGCACCCATGGTCCCTGGGTTCTGAAAGGAAGGTGAGAGGGCAGAGTTGGTGGTGACGGGGCTCGTGGAGGAAGCAGGTGCCAAGGCCCAGGAGGAAGGGGTTGTGCTCTGGGAGGCGGGGAGAGGATGCCATGACTGCCGGCTCTAACTTCCTTTCCCCTAACTCAGCTGCAAAGGACAATGTGACCTTTCCAGAGCGGACTCTTGCTCCTGCATCTGCCCCCAGGAACCCCCTGGCCATAGGCACAGCAGTGGGGCAGAATAGTCTCTGTGCCTGACTGACACCAAAAGAACCACACAATATATCCTGTGGTTCTCAGGTCAGGCTTCAACACTGGCCTTTTGATTAACAGGAGCTTCTTCCAGCCTAGTGGGCCCTGGCCTGCCTCTCTCGTAGCAGGCTTCCCAAGTCACAGGAAATGCGTGACTGCAGACACAGGTCCACTCAGCCGGGCCTGGCTAGTCCTCCCTCCTGTGACAGGAGTTTATACCCCACTCTGTTCCTACTGTGGCCACTGTGGGACCTGGCACCCAGGGATGCCACTGGAAGCAAGGGCCCTTCCTGCTCCCACAGGTGGGCAGGTCCAGGTCCAGAGAAGGACTCTGAGGGTGATGCCTCCACCAAGTCCCTGCTGGAAAAAGGACCCTGGAGAAATGCTGGAAGACCAGGACCAACTTACCTTCCCTTCCTCTCTCTCTCTTTCCTTCTTTCTTTTAAGACTCCTTCCTTCCTTTCTTTCGAGACAAGAGCTGGAGGACCAGGACCAACTTTCCTTTATTTATTTATGTATTATTTAGGGCCAAGAGCCTGCTCTGTTGCCCAGGCTGGAGGAGAGTGGTATTATCTCATTTCACAGCAACTTCAGCCTCCCAGGCTGAAGCTGCCTCCTGCCTCAGCCTCCAGCATAGCTGGGACCACAGGCAGGAGCCACCATGCCCAGCTAATTTTTGTATTTTTAGTAGAGATGGGGTTTTGCCATGTTGCCCAGGCTGGTCTTGAACTCCTGGGCTCAACCAATCCACCCATCTCAGCCTCCTAAAGTGCTGAGATTACAGGCATGAGCCACTGTGCCCAGCCAGGACCAACTTTTCTGGGGTCTACACCTGGCCCCCAGGACAGGATTCAAACACAGGATTCAGGACCAGTGATCCTCCTTAGAAGTTGTGGTGTCTAAGAAAAGGGATAGGACAATAAGGAAGGGGGGCGGGGAAGGGCTGGGTAGAAGAGGGCGTGATTTCTGGCTAGGGCTCCACCCCCAGGCCTGTGCCCAGGGACCTAGGTGAGGACAGCCATTTCTGTTTTCCTGCCCAAATGTTGTATTTCCCAAGCCCGCCAGGACCCCATCCTGTGCCTTTAAAACCCCCCAGACCCTAGTGTGCAGAGAGACACAAGCCGCTAGACATCAAGAGGATGGGAAGAGCACACCAACAGGCAGCAGCAGCAGGCCGGCAGGGGCTCAACTGGTGGAACCACAGGGAGTTTGGCAGGGGTGGTAGGAGGACAGCCTGGGCTGCTTGACAGCCTGACTCCAAGAGAAAACCACCTTCCTGCTCCAACTCCCTTCTGGCTCCCCCATGTGCTGAGGGCTACTTCCACTCAATAAAACCTTGCACTCATTCTCCAAGCCCACCTGTGATCCGACTGCTCCAGTACACCAAGGCAAGAAACCCCGGGATACAGAAAGCCCTCTGTCCTTGCGATGAGGCAAGGAGGCCAATTGAGCCGACACAAGCCACCTATACGGCTAAATTGAAAGAGCACCCTGTAATACATGCCCAGTGGGGCTTCAGGAGCTGCAAACATTCACCCCTAGACACTGCTGTGGGGTCGGAGTCCCACAGCCTGCCCGTCTGTATGCTCCCCTAGAGGCTTGAGCAGCGGGGCACTGTAGAAGTGAGTGACATCCCTATCGCACGCCCTTCAAGGACAAGGAAACCTGTCCCATTTCACTGAGACTGGGTCCTGGTGGTGGAGGCAGGTCGGACAGGGTAAGTGGGTTTGTGGCTGAGCTGCTCACGAGGCCCGTGTGCTTTGTCCTGACACTGATCTGTTCCTGCCAGAAGCCATGGTTTCCAACTGAATTTTTGTGATTTACTGCCGGTCTTTCCCCTAAGCCCCCGACCCCGCTCTCCTGGTCTCCCCTGAGCCCCCGACCCCGCTCTCCTGGTCTCTCCTAAGCCCCCCGACCCCGCTCTCCCGGTCTCCCCCGAGCCCCCGACCCCGCTCTCCTGGTCTCCCCTAAGCCCCCGTCCAGCCCTCCTGGTCTCCCCTAAGCCCCCCGATCCCACTCTCCTGGTGTCCCCGAGCCCCCGTCCCGCCCTCCCGGTCTCCCCTAAGCCCCTGACCCCGCCCTCCCGGTCTCCCCCGAGCCCCCGACCCCGCCCTCCTGGTCTCCCCTAAGCCCCCCGTCCCGCTCTCCTGGTGTCCCCGAGCCCCCGTCCCGCCCTCCTGGTCTCCCCGAAGCCCCCTGACCCCGCTCTCCCGGTCTCCCCCGAGGCCCCGACTCCGCCCTCCCGCTGTCCCCTAAGCCCCCGACCCCGCCCTCCCGGTGTCCCCTAAGCCCCCGACCCCGCCCTCCCGCTGTCCCCTAAGCCCCCGACCCCGCCCTCCCGGTGTCCCCTAAGCCCCCGACCCCGCTCTCCCGGTGTCCCCTAAGCCCCCGACCCCGCTCTCCTGGTGTCCCCCGAGCCCCCTACCCCGCTCTCCAGGTCTTCCCCGACCTACCCCCCTCGGCTCCACTGGTCTCCTCCAAGCCCATGGACTAGGCTTACCTGGTCTCCTGCAGCCCGCTGGCTCGGCTCCCCTCCCCGGCCAACCCGGCTGCTAGAATCCCCGCGCGCACTTTTCGTACTTTCACCGCCGCTTCCGGGGACGGGGCCTCTGACCGGAAGTGAGGCGAGGCATTTCCGGCGGCTTGCTGCAGGCGCGGGGGCCAGCCATGGCGGGGTGAGAGGGGCGTCAGTGGCGTGCGTGCGGGAGGAGGGAGTGGTCGTGGGTCCGCCCCGTCGCCTTCCTCGGTCCTGGCCTCGGGTTTGGATCCCAGGCGCTGGGCACCGTGGCTGCACTGAGCGAGCGCGGCAGGAGCGAGGCCGGGGCTCCGGGTCGCAGATCCCCGGGAGGAGGGCACCCTCAGGTCTCCAAGGGCCGGCGGAGCCGTGGGGAGGCCGAGGCGGCGGGGGCCAAGTCCAGGTGCTGGAGCAGCGCCGGGGCCCAGATCCGAGGCGCCCGGGGCCGCGCCGGGGGTTCCTTTCGTGGCGGAGTAGCTCCACGGCCCACGCTTCCGGGGCTGCCGAGTGTGCTGTCGCCCCTTGGACCGGCCTGTGCCGTTCTCCCGGGAGACCGCTTCAGCCGGGTGAAGACAGCGACTCATGGTCACCAGCCGGTGCCTCCTGGCTGGTTGGCACACTTGGTGTTGCAGAAACTAGAAGCTTTGGTTTTGGAGCCATGGGGGTAGTAACTTTTTTTTTTAATTAGAAAGATGGACATGGAGACCTGCTTGGTGGCTTACACCTGTCATCCCAGCACTTTGGGAGTCTGAGGTGGGAGGTTCGTTTGAGCTTAGGAGTTCGAGACCAGCCTAGGCAATATAGTGAGATGCCAGCTCTAAAAAAAAGTTTTTAAAAATTAAAAAAAAAAAAAAAAAAAAAAAAAGCCTAGGCACGGTGGTACATACCTGTAGTCTCAGCTACTCAGGAGGCTGAGGTGGTGGGAGGTTCCCTTTAGACCCAGAGGTTATGTGGGTCTCAGCTGTGATTGCGACACTGCACTCCAGCTTCGGTAATAGCAAAACTCTGCCTATTAAAAACCAAACAACCAAAAAGTGGCCGGGCAAGGTGGTTCATGCCTGTATTCCCAGCACTTTGGGAGGCCGAGGTGGGTGGATCACCTGAGGTTAGGAGTTTGAGACCAGCCTGGCCAACATGGTGAAACCCATCTATGCTGAAAGTACAAAAATTAGATGGATGTGGTGGTGGGTGCCTGTAATCCCAGCTACTTAGGAAGCTGGGACAGGAGAATTGCTTGAACACGGGACTTGGAGGTTGCAGTGAGCCACCACTGCACTCTAGCCTGGGTGACAGAGTGAGACTCTGTCTCAAAAAAAAAAAAAAAGAAAAAAGGGCATAGAACCTACTTGGTGAGGTTGTTCTCAGAGTTAAACAGGGCAAGTGTGTATAGCTTTCAACTGCTTAGCAATTGTGGTCTGTGAATAAATTATTACATCACAGCTTGTCCAGAGACTCTTGGAAATTGTCCTTCAGCAATTCACACGGGTTTAGTTCAATTTTATTTAAGACATGTAGGTGGAAGGACTGTTTGAGCCCAGGACTTCAAGTCTGTGTCGAGCCATGACCTCGCCACTACACTCCAGCCTGGGCTATAGAGCGAGACCATGTCTCAAGAAAGAAAAAAAAGAAAAAAATGTGACAGGCCATCCTCTGTGCCAGCTGCCAAAGCCCTGGAACTAGGTAACTCAGGCAAGGACCTGTCCTTAGGAGGTTTTCTTGCAGTCTCTCACAGCCCAATGAACATTTTTTGCCAGATGAGAAAAGAATATTACTTTAATTAATTAGTTTATTTTTTGAGACAGAGCCTTGCTCTGTTGCCTAGGCTGAAGTGCAGTGACACAATCTCGGCTCACTGCAACCTCTGACTTCCAGTTTCAGGCGATTCCCTTGCCTCAGCCTCCCGAGTAGCTGGGATTACAGGCGCCCGCCACCATACCTGTAATTTTTAAATTTTAGCTGAGACAAGATTTCACCATGTTGGCCAGGCTGGTCTTGAGCTCCTGACCTCAGATGATCCAAGACATGCCTTGGCCTCCCTAAGTGCTGGGATTATAGGCATGAGCCACCATGCCCGGCCCCTAATCTCTTTTTATAAAGACATTAGTCCTGTTGGAATAGGGCCTACCACTATGACCTTGTTTTAACTTGGTCACCTCTTTAAGGGCCCTGTCTCCGAATACACTCATATTCTAAGGTACTGAGGGTTAGGACATCAATATATGAATTTTGTAGGGACACAGTTCGGCCTGCAATGCCTGCTTTCTGGCTGTATTGCTTTGTCAGTTCACCTCCCCTCCTGGGTCTTGGGGCCTCATCTCTAGAAACGAATGAGTTGAACCGAGGGCCCTCCCAGCTCATGACCTGCCGATCCGTGTGATGCCAACCTGCCTGCTCCTTTTCTCTCCTACCAGGTTCTTGAAGCTGGTCTGTGCTTCCTTTCAGCGTAAAGGGTTCCACACTGCCAGGAGTCACTGCAAGAAACGGACAGGTGCTGAGCACCTGTGGCTGACTCGGCATCTTAGGGACCCATTTGTGAAGGCTGCGAAGGTGGAGAGTTATCGATGTCGAAGCGCCTTCAAGCTCTTGGAGATGAACGAGAAGCACCAGATTCTGCGGCCTGGCCTTCGGGTGTTAGACTGTGGGGCGGCTCCTGGGGCGTGGAGTCAGGTGGCAGTGCGGAAGGTCAATGCCACAGGCACAGGTGGGAGCTCTGCACGGCTCTTGGCACCTTCTGGCTACCCTGAGGCTGAGTGGGCACAGGCAAGCTGCCTCTGCCAGTGGATATGGGATGGTTGAGCCCTTTTCTGAAAGCACCCACTTCTGAGTTGGTGGTTCAGTAGTGGTAATGATAAAAACAGGATCCTGCCATTTTCAAAGTGAAAGACAAGGTAGAAAGGTGCAGAGAAAATGGAGATGACCTCGCATGATACCTCCTGTGGGTAATGGCCCCAGCACTGCTGTGTGTGTCCTTCCAGGCCTGCGTTTGCATAGATCCCTCACGTGTTCAAAAGCAATGTCGGGTCATACTCTTCTTGCTAATTTTCAGCCTTACTGGAGCTATTTTTGCTTAAAAATACACATATGTATATATTTTTTTGTTCACCTTCCCCAAGATGGAGTTTCGCTCTGTTGCTGAGGCTGGATGCCGTGGCATGATCTCACCTCACTGCAACCTCTGCATCCGGGGTTCAAATGATTCTCCTGCCTCAGCCTCCAGAGTACCTGGGATTACAGGCACCTGCCACCACAGCTAGTTAATTTTTTTTTTTTTTTTTTTTTTTAATCAAGATGGGGTTTCATCATATTGGCCAGGCTGGTCTCGAGCTCTTGAACTCAAGCGATCTGCCCACCTTGACCTCCCAAAGTGCTGGGATTACAGGTGTGAGCCACTGTTCCTGGCTGCTCTTAATGATATATTGACCTCTCTCCCCAACAGCACAGCTGAATCAACTCCAGAGCTTTCCAAGTCCTGTAAGCCTTAGGGCTTCCTGGTGACCCCACTGGGGCTGCTGCCTCTGGAGCCTAGAAGAGGCTTTGTGGCCAGGGTTATGGATTTTCCACTCTGGGAGAAGCTGAGACACAGTTTTCATCTGTTTATATCTTAGGGTTTTGAGTAAGATTTTCTATATAAAAAGATTCCCCTGAATAATGAGATCAACCAGCCACCCATACAACTTAAGAAACTGTCATCACTGGGAACAGTTACATCCTGTTCCATGATATGCGTGTACGTTAGGCTCTTTACCAGTTCCCTCACCGTGGGCATCAAGGTTGCTTGTGGCTTTTTGCTGGGAGGCGTGTGCTGTGGTGAATATCCTTGCCACTGATGTTCCCTGCTGTCAAGCCAGGGTACCTACATGCACTGGCATTTGAAAAGGGTAAGACAGTCCACCCAGAGCGTTCCCAGATGCCCTACAGGAGGGATACTGGTACCCATTTGTTGGTGAGAAAACTGAGGCTCAAGAGTTGTGTGATGTGTTGACAGCGCAGACCTGGAATGCTAGCCCGCTGGGTCTGCAGGTCAGCCTCACTGCTGGTTTGCTACAGGTTTGCCATGAACGCTTGTTGTCTACCTGCATCTCCTGGGTGGTCCCTGCCCATACTTAGGCCAGGATATGCCTCTTCAGGGTTTTGAACAGCACCCCTTTTTTTTTCTTTTTTTTTTGGGATACAGTCTCACTCTGTTGTCCAGGCTGGAGTGCAATGGCGTGATCTTGGCTCACTGCAGTCTATCTCCTGAGTTCAATGGATTTCCAGCTAATTTTTGTATTTTTAGTAGAGACAGGGTTTTGTCATGTTGCCAAGGCTGGTCTCGAACTCCTGACCTCAAGTGATTCACCCACCTCAGCCTCCGAAGGTGCTGTGATTACAGGCGTGAGCCACCGTACTTGTCCTGAACAGTCTTTTTGTTGTTTTTTTAGCTCAACAATTATTGTCTAAATGAGTGAATTTGTGTTGGAAATGTCAGTTCCTTCTTTTATTGCTGAGCTTATCACTGTGGAGTCCTCTGAGTAACTGATTTCCGTGGTTTCTGTTCCCCTAAGTGCTCTTGAGATGAAGCAAGAAAGTTTGCCTTGTCGGAGGAAGTGACAGAAGCAGAGCACGTGGGGTGATCTGCCTGTTCTTTTCCTCCCGTAAGTCACAAGCATGCGGCCAAAGCCGCCTTCGGTGGAAACTTCCCAAGATTGTAACATGTGGGATGTTACAGGAGCAAAAGCTCCGGAGCATAAAGTGAGGGATGAGGCCAGGTGCGGTGGCTCATGCCTGTAATCTCAGCAGTTTTGGAGGCTGAGGTGGGAGGATCACCTGAGGTCAGGAGTTAGAGACCAGACTGGACAACATGGTGAAAACCTCTCTCTACAAAAAATACAAAAAAAATTAACCAGGTGTGGTGGCATGTGCCTGTGGTCCCAGCTACTTGGGAGGCTGAGGTGGGAGGGGTCGCTTGACCCTGGGGAAGTTGAGGCAACAGTGAGCTGAGGCCCGGCAATGGAGTGAGACCCTGTTTCACACACACACAAAAAGCTGATGTTTGTTTGTTTGTTTGTTTGTTTTTTGAGACAGAGTCTCACTCTTGTCCACACTGAAGTGCAGTGGCGTGATTTCAGCTCACTGCAACCTCTGCCTGCCAGGTTCAAGCAGTTCTCTGCCTCAGCCTCCCGAGTAGCTGGGATTATAGACCCGTGCCACCTTGCCCAGCTTTTTTTTTTTTTTTTTTTTTTTTTTGGTATTTTTAGTAGAGACAGGGTTACACCATCTTGGCCAGGCTGGTCTTGAACTCCTGACCTCATGATCTGCCCACCTCAGGCTCCCAAAGTGCTAGGATTACAGGCATGAGCCGCCATGCCTGCCCGACTTGCTGATATTTAGGTAATACCCATTATAAAACTAAAAAGACACCATTGCTTCGCCTGCCTAAAACAAGACTTGTTGCCCGTAACTGATCTCAGTGTCTACCTCCCCTCTTCTCCCTCTCCACCTACATTCAAAGCCCCCCCTACACAAGCTCAATGCCCCAATCTCTCCAGTCCCCTCCACTGAGGAGGGGCGTAGTACTGTTGAGAAACGTCAGAGTTGATAAGCTAAGGGCACAGTCACAGATTTTCTTGTTCAGTCTGCTTAACAGAAAGGCTGTTCCAATGTTAGGGGGAGAGGAAGGGTTCGTGTTTCATTCCTGGCTTAAACATTGGAAATCCAGGTATTTTGAAGAGTACCTCATTTTTCAAAGGTAAAAACCCTCAATCTTCAGCCCAGGAAAATGGAACATCTCGTGCCTCATTTTAGCTGGATCTCCTGAGTAGCTGAGACTATAGGCACATGGCACCAGACCCAGCTAATTTTTATGTTTTTTGTTTTGTTTTGTTTTGTTGTTGTTTTTTTGGTAGAGACAGGATGTCACTATGTTGCCAAGGCTGGACTGAAACTCCTGGGCTCAAGTAGTCCTCTCACCTCAGCCTGAAAAAGTGCTGGGATTTATTAGGGTGAACCACTGTACTCAGCCAATATCAGTTTTTGTACGTTATTTTGTATCTGTTCATTTTTGCCATCTTTTGACTTGTTTCTATTAGTTTCTACATTGAAAGCAATTGGATTAAGCTGGATAATGGATTTATTGATTTAATCCAGAGGCACTTGTATGTACTAGTATATTATTTTCTTTTTTCTTTTTTTTTCTTTTTTTTTTTGAGATGGAGTATTTCTCTGTCACCCAGGCTGGATTGCAGTGGTGCAATCTTGGCTTACTGCAACCTCCGCCTCCTGGGTTCCAGCGATTGTCCTGCCTCAGCCTCCTGAGTAGCTGGGATTACAGGCACGTGCCACCAAGCCTGACTAATTTTTGTATTTTTAGTAGAGACGGGGTTTCACCATGTTGGCCAGGCTGGTCCCGAACTCCTGACCTCAGGTGATCTGCCCACCTCAGCATCCCAAAGTGCTGGGATTACAGGTGGGAGCCACTGCGCCTGGTCTATTTTCCAAGACCACTCAGAGATAAGAACCCTTTTGTAGAGAGTGAGCCCTGGGTACTGAAATGATAGCAGATTTGGAATCAGAAGTCCTAGCATCTGGCACAGGTCGGCCCATCACTGATGCTGACTCTAGGATAGTCACTTCCTGTCTAGGCCTCAGCTTCTCAGATGTTAAGAACAGTCACCTCCCCCACTGTGCCTTTATAGTATGTATAGATAGTGAGAGAAGGCCTATTTGTTCATTTATTTGCACATTAGCTCTTTGCCTTGGTCGACATTTTATTTTTATTTCATCACTTTGTTGCATGTACTGTATTTTTGTGAAAAGATTCAGGGTATAAATGAATAACACATTCGTCATTTCTTCCTTAGATCTCAGCTCTCCTGTTGGCTTCGTGCTTGGGGTGGATCTTCTTCACATATTCCCCCTGGAAGGAGCAACTTTTCTGTGTCCTGCTGATGTGACTGACCCAAGAACCTCACAGAGAATCCTAGAGCTGCTTCCTGGCGGGAGAGCAGATGTGATTCTGAGCGACATGGCGCCCAATGCCACAGGGGTCCGGGACCTCGATCACGACAGGCTCATCAGCCTGTGCCTGTCCCTCCTGGGCATGACCCCAGACATCCTCCACCCTGGGGGAACCTTCCTTTGTAAAACATGGGCTGGAAGTCAAAGCCGTCAGTTACAGAGGAGACTGACAGAGGAATTCCAGAGCGTAAGGATCATCAAACCAGAAGCCAGCAGGAAAGAATCATCGGAAGTGTACTTCTTGGCCACACAGTACCGTGGAAGGAAGGGCGCTGTGAGGCAGTGAGGACTTCCTGTGCCATTTTCATAGTGGTTATTAGCTCCTTTTAAGCTCTAAATGTAGGCTGAGCTCCTTCCTGAAGAGTTCCTGGGAGATCTGAGCTGATCTGGGAGATGGAGCAGGACAAGCGGGGAGTTTTTCTCTCTCTCTCTCCCTCTCTCTCTCTTTAAACAAAAAGAGATGACAAAAGTAAATTCAGGGCCTGTGGAAAATGAAAAAGTCCTCTATATCATGATTTGTGAAGAGAAAGTTACCAAGAAAAAGAGATAGGTGAGGATAGAAGGATGAAGAAAGACAGACTATGGGAAGGATCGGAAGGGATTCGTTGAGGCAGGGATGGGTGTGCCCATGTGTGCCTTCGTGTGACTTCGTCTTATAGACTGTTAAACTGTCACACAGAAACAGGCGTAAGAACACCATCCACAGGTTTCCAGTTCTTCGTTTGGCTGTTTAGTGTAAAGTAGAAAAATCTGGGGGCTGGGTGAGGCTACTCATGCCTGTAATCCCAGGGCTTTGGGAGGCTGAGACGGGGATCACTTGAGGTAAGGAGTTCGAGACCAGCCTGACCGCAGGTGCCCCCCACCTCTACAAAAATGGAGAAACAACCAAACCAGAAGAAAAATCTGAAATTTCCATCTGGGGGATGAACTTCTGTCTTTCTGGTGAATAATCTAGAAATTCATGCATTCTTCAAGCAGCAAGAGTTCCCAGAGCAATTAGGGAAGACGTATCGTTTGAATTTATGCATGTGGTGAGTGTGCTTTGGTTTGTGCTGGAAATAACTATTGGTGCCTGGGCTCCCAAGACCATAAAGGTAATTGCCAAAGCAGGCAGTGATGTGATGTGTTTATTTTCTTTTACTCTTCTAGGAACTTGATGCAGCTTTGTATTTAATAAAATAATAGAGACCGCATTATTTTATTATAGAGACTAATGCCTTTAAGTTTTGTTTTTTAAAACTGACTTCCTCAAAGCCGTTTCCTGGAGGTGTGCTTGCCCCTCAAGAAGAGTTTGTTGACTGTAACTCTGATTAAATTCCGAGGACTGGTCGGGTGTGGTGGCCCACGCCTGTAATCCTGGCACTTTGGGAGGCCGAGGCGGGCAGATCACCTGAGGTCGGGAGTTGGAGACCAGCCTGACCAACATGGAGAAACCCCATCTCTACTCAAAATACGGTATTAGCCAGGCATGGTGGCGCATGCCTGTAATCCCAGCTACTTGGGAGGCTGAAACAGGAAAATCACTTGAACCTGGGAGGCGGAGGTTGCGGTGAGCCGAGATCAAGCCATTGCACTCCAGCCTGGGCAACAAGAGCAAAATTCCATCTCAAAAAAAACAAAAAACCATTCCAAGAACCAGTGGTGAAAGTCTAGAAACTCAGGAATCTCCATCAGGGATCTGGGGCTCAGTCCAGCTCCTGGAAGGAAGCTGTAGGTTAGATGTTTTTACTTTTCATTTTATTTCTGGTTGCAGTCAGGTAGTTAAGTCCAATGACTCTTGCCCTACTCCACTTCATTCTCTTCTCATCCCATTTCATTCCTGGGGCACACAACTTGTAAGTCTTCTCTGGAAGAAGGAAAATTTGTTGCAGACCCTTAGGAACAGCACCTTGTTAGAGGGAAGCCAAAGGCTGGGCAGAGGTGGGAGGAGGAGAGGAGGAGAATACGGAAATGAGTAAGGCACACCCTTCTCAGGAAGGATCCAAGTTGCAAGGTAGATAAGGGTTACCATAAGAATGGTGGGGCCTGGCCAGGTGCAGTGGTTCACTCTTATAATCACAGCACTTTGGGAGGCCAAGGTGGGAGAATCACGGGGTCAGGAGTTCGAGACCAGCCTGGCCAACATGGTGAAACCCCATCCTCTAATAACAATACAAAAATTTAGCTGGATGTGGTGGCGGGGGCCTGTAATCCCAGCTACTTGGGAGGCTGAGGCAGGAGAATCGGTTGAACCTGGGAGGCGGAGGTTGCAGTGAGCAGAGATCCTGCCACTATACTCCAGCCTGGCGACAGAGGGAGACATCATCTCAAAAGAAAAAAAAATACAAAAATTAGCTGGGCATGGTGGTGGGTGTCTGTAGTCCCAGCTACTCGGGAGGCTGAGGCAGGAGAATTGCTGGAACCCAGGAGGTGGAGGTTGCAGTGAGCCGAGATAGCACCCCTGCATGCCATCCTGGGTGACAGAGCAAGACTCTGTCTTAAAAAAAAAAAAAAGAATTGTTGAGTGCATGAGCAAATGAAAGAAGGAGTGTGACTGGGCACAGTGGCTCACATCCCAGCACTCTGGGACGCTGAGAGGCTGAGATCACGTGAGCCCAGGAGTCTGAGACCAGCCTGGGCTGTAGTGAGACCTCTCTACAAAACGATTTTAAAATGATTGTTTCTAAATAATTTTAAGATTATTTAAAATTTGAAAGGGCATAGTGGCATGTACCTGTGGTCCCAGTTACTCAGGAAACTGAGGTGGGAGGATTGATTGAGCCCAGGAGTTGGAGGCTGTAGTGAGCTATGATTGCACCACTGCTGTCCAACCTGGGTGACAGAGCAAGACCCTTTCTCGAGATGGATGGATGGATGGATGGATAGAGAAAGATAGATAAGATAAAGCAACAGAGCAAGACTCTCTCCAGATAGATAGGTAAGTAGATAGAGAGGTAGGTAAGTAGAGATAGGTAGGTAGATAGATAGATAGATAGATATAGAGGAAAGAGAGAGAGAGATGAGATAGAGACATAGATAAGGTAGAGATAGATACAGATGGAGATGAGAGAGAGAGAGAGAGAGAGAGAGAGAGAGAGAGAGAGAGAGAACAGGAAAATGGACGTGGTTAAGTGAGTGGACTTTGGCCCAGGTGAGACCTGCTGTGGCATCCTGGTTCTGATACACTCACTGTGTGACTGAGGGCTGGCACGTCTTCTCTCTGCGCTTCACTCTCCTCCTCTGCAAAGTAGGGTGTGAACAGCATCCTCCTCGCCGCCTTGTTTTGCACCAGGATGGAGCCTTCCTTCACGTAACACTTTGCAGTGGTCTCGCTGCTGTCCTGTGTCTCCAGCACAAGGCACAGATGAGCCAGAAGCAGTCCCTGCCACAGGGAAGTTTCACCTAATCTTTCTTTTTTTTTTTTGGAGACAGTCTTGCTCTGTCGCTGGGAGCCAGTCTGGAATGCAATGGCAAGACCTTGGCTCACTGCACCCTCTGCCTCCCGGGTTCAAGTGATTCTCATGCCTCAGCCTCCCAAGGAGCTGGGACTACTGGCATATGCCACCACGCCCAGCTAATTTTTGTACATTTAGTAGAGATGGAGTTTCACCATGTTGGCCAGGCTGGTCTTGAACTCCTGACATCAGATGACCCACCTGCCTAGGCCTCCCAAAGTGGTGGAATTACAGGCATGAGCCACCATGCCCAGCCATGGACATGCAGTTTGAAGGAAGAGGAAGGGATAATAAATTGAAGGATGGCTGGACATGGTGACTCACACCTGTAATCTCAGCACTTTGGGAGGCCAAAGCAGGTGGATCATGAGGTCAGGAGCTCAAGACCAGCCTGGCCAACATGGTGAAACCCTGCCTCTACTAAAGCTACAGAAATTATCTGGACATGGTGGCAGGTGCCTGTAAACTCAGCTACTTGGGAGGCTGAGCCAGGAGAATTGCTTGAACCCAGGCGGCAGAGGTTTCAGTGAGCCGAGATCACGGCACTGTACTCCAGCCTGGGCGAGAGTGAGACTCCATCTCGAGAAAAAAAAGACAGAGGTTGTGGTTGGGTCGTGGGTGGCAGCACTTCAGGACCCAGGCCAAGGGCATAGTCCATGCAGAGCCTGAGAGCCTGGTGGCAGGGATGGCACTCTACCTGGTGGAATGAAGGAGGCAGCACGGCTCCCTCCACCGAGGCTCCACTTCGGCTTCAGAAGGCCAGGGTGCTCCCCGGATCTGTCTCTTTATGAGCTTACCTGTTGTGGGGACTCACGGATTTCCAGAGGCACCCCCCATGTGATTTGACTCTCACCAAGATACACTGCCACTTCTTTCGATTCCCGGCCTAGGCCACGTGTCTGGGTGGGCCCCTGCAGTGGGGAGGACCTGGGCACTCACAGCGTGGGGACCTTTTTTGGTGTTGGGACACATACCAGGTTACTTTTGAAATAGCCAGATTCAGTCTCTGAAGACCCACTTTCCCCCCAGGGGTCAAGCCAGGCAGTGAGTGAACGACTTGTGTCTACCTTGGCCCCATCCCCCTGCCCTGCGCCTCCTCAGGGACCAGGCTCATTACTTTGGTCATGGCATCACTCATTTGTTCCACAGATATGTCCCGAGCACCTACTGTGTGCCAGCCACTGCTCTAGATGCCAGCAAGAACTAGACAGAGGTCCCTGACCTCAGGGCACTGACATTCCGCTGGGGGCAGGTGGAAGCAGGGACTGCCAGTCAATAGGTGTATGATGCCAGGGGATGATAAGTGCCACCGAGACAGAAAAAGCAGGGCAGAGATTTGCTCAGAGATCGGGACAGCCTCTCGAAGGAGGTTTTATTTGCACTAAGTCCTGAATAGCAAGAAAGGCTGAGCAGTGAAGTTCTGGCAGAGGGAAGAATCCGTGCAAAGGCCCAGAGGCTGGAACAGCTGTGATGTACACGGAAGAGGCCAGCGCAGCTGGAGGAAGCAAGGGGAAGAGATTAGGTTTTTGAGGTTGGCGGGGCCCTCCCAGTCAGGGCCATGTTGAATCACAGTGTTTGAACCAAAGTGGGAAGCCATGTAGAATTGTGTGTGTGCATTTGTTTAACGTTTCTTGGCCAGGCGAGTTGGCTCATGCGTGTAATCCCAGCACTTTTGAGAGGCTGAGGCGGGCAGATCACGAGGTCAGGAGTTCAAGACCAGCCTGACCAACATGGTGAAATCTCATCTTTACTAAAAATACAAAAATTAGCTGGGCATGGTGGTACGCGCCTGTAATCCCAGCTGCTCGAGAGGCTGAAGCAGGAGAGTGACTTGAACCAGGGAGGCAGAGGTTGCAGTGAGCCAGGATCGTGTCACTGCACTACAGCCTGGGAAACAGACTGAGATTCTGTCTCAAAAGTAAAAAAAAAAAAAAAGAAAAAAGAAGACATTCCTTCATATTCCCTTCTAACCAAGGTGGCTTTTCTGGTCTTGGTCTGGTCATTGTCAGGGACGTTGTCCCTCCCTGTTTTGTCCCGTAATACTCCAGGGTCCTTTCTCTAGAGTGGAGGCCTTGGCTGGAGCAAGGGCCACTGAGGAAGAGGAGGCTGGGGGATGTTGACTTTCCTTCTCTGTAGGACAGAGTGGCCACTTTGGTGACCTAGCACTGGCCGTCCCTGGGCAGTGACTTCCCATCTTAAGACCTCAGTTTCCCAGTTTGGGAAACAGGAAGGAAGAGGACTCCCCACTCACCCCCCAGAACCGTTTAAAGGGCTCCATGTGGCCTGGTCTGCATGCCTGGCATGGGCCTGGCGAGTCCACAGCCATGAGGGGGGCCCCGCTGAGGCCACGCCCGGTTCTAGGCACCGAGACGCAGCTGTCGGAAAGGAAAATGTGGTCCCTGCCTGTGAGAGCCCCTGACGTAGTGAGGAAGACAGCAACAGACAGGCAAACAACCGTACCATGTGAGGTGACGCTGAAGGGCCTGCAGGGAATGGAGCCAGGCTGGCATGTGCCAAGCTCAGGACGACACCCTGGGGTGCCACATGGAGCAAGACCAGGCGGAGCCCCTGCCCGTGAGCTCACGCTGCAGCCCTCGGCCAGTCCTGCCACCTCTACCTTTACCTTGTGCCCGGAACCCGCTCATGCTGCCCCCTCTGCAGCTCCCACATGGTCCTGTC